GATTGGATTCATCCCCTGGCCATAGTCTGGGCCTGTGTGAGGCTTAGCGACCTTGACTATTGACTGGGTTTTCTTTTTGATTCTGGGTTTCACACGTTCAACTGTGGGCAGAGGCGGGAGCTTCTTCAACTCCTCAAGGACAGCAATCGCAGTGTTCTTCTTCGAAAGCTTCTTGCTCTTCCCCTCACCTTCCCCTATGAATTCCCCGACTGACACCTTGGTCACAAAACTCTTCATGTGATGCGGGCCACTCTCACGGGCGACCTGTTTTAGAGGGAAAGACTCAAAATTCACAGGCAAGTTCCTTTTAAGTGCAATCTCAAACACTTGACTTATTTCTGATTTATTGAGATTTTCTTCTTCCGATTCTCTTCCATTTACCTCCAGCCTTTCAGGAAGGGGCTCATTCTGCAGAATCCTCAATGCTTTAGAAGCAGCATCGTGCTTTGCGGCCTGTCTTGTCCTTCCTTTTCCATTAAACTGCCGTCCTCCCACAGAAAGTTCAACTTGATAAAAGAAAGGTGGAACTGAAAATGGATAAAAGTACCTTGGGGGATAAGCACCTCCTCGCATGTTGTAGCTGTAGGTGGACTGCATCCGAGAGTAAGGGTCAACAGGCTTATACATTGGTTTTTTTCCAAGTTTCATGCACAGAGCATTTAGTTCTACAGTAGGAGTTATGCTTTCTGGCTGTTCCCCCGGCCGGCGGTCCTGGCCGGCTCTACTTTTTTTTATATGTCATCCCATTGTCTTCTAGCTCACATGGTTTCAAGCTAAAAATCAGAACTTAAACTGATTGTTTCCCCTTTGTAGGTGACTCTTTATTTTTCTCGGGCTGCTTTTTATATTCTATTATCATCTTTCAATTTGGAGAATTTGACAATGTTATTTCTTGATGTTTTTCTTTTTGGGTCTAGTCTAATTAGTGTTCAGTGTGCTTCTTTAATGTGAATTTTCTCATTCTTCCAAATACTAAGAAGCCTTTCTTCTAGTACTTCTTCCACCATTTTTCTATGTGACTTCTCTGTCAGTCCTCTGTTCTGGAATTCCAATCATATGTTCTCGTTTATTTTGATGTCATTCCATATGATTCGAATGTTTTCTTCATTTTCTCTACATCTCATCTCTCATTTTTCTTCTAGTATGTTTCTAGTGAGGCTCTTGTCTTCCAGCTCACTGACTCTGTTCCATTGTTTTAGTTCTATTTTTTTTTTAAGTGGGTTTTATTCTACTGTTTTTTGTCTGTACCATCAAATTGGATCTGTCCGGTACAGGAGGAGATTGCCCCTCCTTCTCCAGCAGAGCATCTGGTGGATTCGAACTGCATACCTCCGGGATTGCAGTGTAGCTTCTTGCCACTAGGCCACCAGAGCTCCCTAGTTCTATTTTTTTTTTCTTACCAGTGTGTTGGACACTCCTGACATTTCTGTCTTAATATTCTGGATTGCATTTTCATGCTTTTCTGTAATTTCCAGTGCTGTGTAATTTCCAGTACTGTCTCTGTCTTGTGATGATTTTTTGAGTTCTTGTACCTCTTCATCTATTCTATCAATTATTTCTTCCATTCTTTGCATTTTCTTCCAGAGCTATTCATATTGCTACTCATCAATATGTTGTTTTTCTGGTTTATTGTCTCTGAAATATTTGTTCTCTTAAAAACTTCCATTATTTCTCCTATCATTTGTATCTTCTGTAGCTGTCCAAATAATTCCCCACCAACATATTTCTTTTGCTTTTCTCTACCTGGGGTATTCATTGGATTTGCCTTTTTTAGCAGAAGTTTTATTTTGCTTTTTCTTGACGGGTAAGGCAGATTTCTGCTTTTTTTTTGACATTATGTGAGTCTTCTCTTAAGAGATATTAGGTTGTTTTGACTATATAATGACCCAGGGTATGGCAATGTATTGTGAAGGGCCCTTATATTGGTGCTCCCTCTTGTGAACAATAGTCACCCAGGAGCGGGTTACTGTTGCCCTCCTGAAACCATGCCTCCTCCAGCTAGCCTCTTCTGCTTGAGCTTAGAAACTCTACATGATGTAGCTAGGCAGCAGTGTTTCACCCAAAGAACCTGTGATATTGGTGCTACTGGTGCTCGCTATCAAGGATGGTAGCTGGGCAGTCTAGAGGTGGTGGGGCAGCAGTCTAGGGCTCTGGGCTGGATTGTGATCTAAAACTATAGCCTCTCAACTTGGTAGGCAGTTGTTCTGTTGCCGGCCAGGATGTGAGTTGCCCAGACTAAGCCACTACTGCCTTTAGCAGGCACTGGGGAAACAATGGCTGGAAGATGATCCTGGATCAGCCATGCCACAAAGGCCTTGGTGTCTTGCAGCACAGTGAAGATAAGTTTCCCCAAGAGCAGGTCTCATGAGAGGAATTGTTCTCGTGAGAGAAGCAATTTCAGTGTTAAGAGTACTCATTTTGGTCAAGCTCTGACGTCCTTCCAGAAATAAAAGGCAAATGGTTTCTAATGAAATCTACCCTCATCCTGGAACAAAGAATGTGTCAGGATTTTCCTGAGGTAAGATACCAATAAGGCAAACTTATTTCACAAGAAGTTTCTGATAGCATGATAGAATTTAGATTTTTCATTAAAACTTCAGGGTCTTTGATATAGGATGAATGATTCCAATTTCTTCTTGCAATTGGATTCAGTTTAAAAGGATAAATGCATTGGATGCTGTTGGGAATTGTTTTCTGAAATACCTGGTAAAATTTCTCTGAAAGTCATCTTTTTAGCAGTGAAAAGACTTTGTTTGAGGATTCCCACGATTATAAACTAATTTTGCTTCTCCCTCATTTCTTTTTTTTAACTGTAGAAGATAGATCCTTCTTCTCTCTGAGCTTTAATTTTCTTAACTGCTGAATGAGAGCATTGCTTCACTTAATTGTATCTGAGAAGTCTGTTACTACTAGATTTCTATGACCATGTATTCTTTACCAATATTCCTCGTTACTGAGATTATCAATTTTAATAGTAAAGGGAGACTAAGTGCTGATCTATGGGACATTTTTCACTACCTGATGTAGTTTTAGTTTTGACTCAACATTCTAGGACCCTCTGCTGTGCTGATTTTAATTTCAAGATCTCTCCTGCGGCTGCACTTAACAGGCCTTGAAGCAAGGGCCACATAACACAAATGTGCTACAGGAGGAAAAGGTAGTTACATATCTGAGGAAGGAGTTTCATGTGGATAAAACCAATGAGAACTGCCAACAGCTTTAATGTAGGTGGAGGGAAAACTATTGACAGGTGAAATTGCTTGCAATTTCCCTTAGACTGTATTGACAGTATCACTGTGAAGTAGAATTGACTTGACAGCTCTGAGTTAAATTTAGAGTTTTTGAATTACATGGACAACACACCAGGATATGTGATGGGGAGGTAAATATGTGTGTGCATAGTTCAGATTTTATATGTGTATAGTATAGATAAATGTACATTTTTATACTTATATACAACATAAGGGAGGACTGGTGGCTTGGTGATAAAGGGTTGTGTTGCTTACTCTAAGGTACACAGAATCCACCAGCTGTTCCACAAGAGAAAGATGGGCAATCTGCTCCTGTGTGATTTATTGCCTCTGAAAACCAAGAGATTGTCAGCTGTGTGTAGGTTAAGACTTGATGGTATTTAGCAACAACATATATATTACATACCATTACATAAATGACATATAGATATATCATTGTATGTGTGTGTATACGGAGGGTCTCCTTCTTTTCCTTGAACTCCATATGTTACCAAACATGATGCATTTCTCTAAAGACTGACACTTTCTGATAACACACCCAAAATATGTATGATGAAATCTCACCATCTTTTCTTAAAAGGAACAGCCTGAATATAATTAATATAAGATATATTTATTGATTTTTTTGAAAATCCATGATGTATTCAACATTTAATGCCAATGTTGTTGTTGTTGTTGTTATGTGCCATTGAGTCATTAGCGACTGATAGCAACCCTATGTACAACAGCCCTAAACGCTGCTCTATCCTGTGCCAATCGCACTGCGTCTGACACACCCATCCCAATTA